TGCCAGTACTCTCAGGATTATTCTACCTCCTGAAAGAACTGCCCTCATGCAATCATGTAATTTAAACCAGTTTGTCATTTTTTCGGTGCTGAAACGTACCACTTGATGGATTCACCACAATTGTGATTTTACTGAGAGAGTTGAAATAGTTCAAAAGTTTGGTTGATTTATCCTATTAAGGGTTTTCGTAAACTTAGTGACCAGCGCAAATGGATCATCAGTGTTTTCTTTTAGGTCGAACATCAGGCTCGCACCGCCTTTTCCTCAGTGTGCCAGAAAATTCCATTCTGACGGCTATTCGATCTAGCACAATGTGTACACAAGGTAATCATTTGGCAATTCAATTTGAGTCATTTGGGAAGCAAGCCGACGTTTTATTTTTCTAGTTATCTGGCCCATGACACTGATAACCCACATCCTTCCAACGTTTTACACGTATTCCTGATGTTCAGCTACATAAGGAAGCTGTATGCTGAGAAGCATTACCATCTTTGTCCACAAACCTTTGCCGGTTGAATTTTTGATAAATCTCCCAAATAGGGAGTAATGATCCTTTGCACTAACCAGACAGGGCATATCACGGCTTAGTATTCATTTTTCTATATCTATTCCTGGAGAAGAAAGGAAACCGGGTGCAGTTTTAACGCCCATTGTGAGGCAATTACAAAAAACGGGTGTACATGAGAGGCAACATCAGCCTAAATGTCACCAGTTGGTTCATCAAAACGGGTAATACTATCTGAACCACCAAATATCGTGTCTCATCGGTGGCTGTGCGGTTCAGTTTGACCGAGTCTGACCGAAACTAAGACTCACGAATACACACACAATAAAACAGCTTAACAATCTCGAGCTTTAACGTGGCTCCCCAACAAGGTCTTAAGATTTGGTGGTCGAGTGATCGCCTGAGATTCTTAGCATCTTGCCACGAGCTGAACTGACATAGACAGCGAACTGCTACAAAATGGGGCAGCGCTGAGAAAAAGCCGTAGTTGATAATGAAACATTCGTAGCAGCACTGCCAAGCTTCATGAATGGTTGGGCCACGAACTGATTAAGCAGAACTGTTACCATTCTCTCCAATATTGGAAGCCTTGTACATACGGAGAAACATGTTAGATGCCGTCATGTATGGACAGTGTGTTGATGCCGTTGAATAAAACACTTTGATTCAGTCATTATGCCTTGATCGCTTGGTCGCTTTATTCGTTAAGTAGGTTTGTCAGTAATTCAGCCAAATGCATATAGCATCCGGGTATTTGCACAACAAACGACAGGTAATCAAAAGCTGTTCATTAAGTTTCCAGGGCAAGATACAGACGATTCGGTTATTAAACTGAGTCGCAAACACGAGCACCTACCCTTACATTTCCCCTCCGAATTTATGTCTCAGAATCGTCAAACCAATCTACTTCCCAATACAACTATTTACAGCAGTGATATTCCAAAATGTTCAGGCGCAAATGAGATCCTCTTCATCAACTAATTTGTCGACCTATTGCGCAGAAACTCCTATGCCATATATCGCCATATTAAGACGGGTGCCATTTACAGTCATGTGTTTGTCTGTTTTCGATAGATTCGCCGTAATGTGGTCGACAGGCGACGCATGCTGAATCAGTGTTGTTCCATACTTCCTGCAAAACAGCAAATGATAACAGGGAATAGTCTTGTGTATGAGTGACCTGAAAGTCATGCGTCCTGACATGTGACCACACCGGTGAATTTATTAGCTGACGAGTGACGGCGTTTATAACATAAGGATTGAATTCCAATTATGGCAATCAAATATAAATATTGAGATTCAAAGCAGTTATGTGACTGAAGACGAACCTGAAAGTTAGAAATTTTTTTGCAACAATGCTTTTTGACGAATCACTGAGGTGCTACAACTTTCATCGACTTTCACATCGGGGTTCTATATATCCTAATTGCGAGGTCTGTTTAGTAAGTCGCTCCTTTACCCCTGTCATCTTTCGTGCTTCTCTATGAGTTGTGGTCCTATTTCTCAACAAAACCCCATTAGTTAGATGGAGTACTGTCGCGGCCGGTTGTGGATTCCAGCGTACGTTTGGTTCCGCTGGCAGCCAAATAGAGGTTTATTCACTCGCACCATGGCAATCTGAAAGAACCAAAGGTTCTCAGTTAACAGATTTAATTGTGCTTTAGTCTTAACCTAAGGTCTCCTTTGTGAATGGGCATATGGAAGTGGCGGTCAAAATGTTGTTACGATTTTGAAATTCACAGCAAAAATCTGGTCCAGTCTCATGAACATGTGCAGGGCATGCGTGAAAAACATAGTTTTTTGCATGCGTGAAAAAATGAACACCATAAAAGTTTTGCTGAAAGCATTTTCAAAAACATCACCCCGTTACATTCTGCATCCATAATAACCACCTGATGGCTTTAGTGTCCACAGGCGACGATTTTCACAGATGTGAAATTTGTTTACCATTACGAACTACAGCAACAACCTGCACCCTGCACAGTGTCGCTGAGTAATGTCACTGATGCATTTGGCACTGCATTCACAATCAATGCAAGTGTGTACGCCTCTTCGCGGCTGTTGATAAATAGTATTCAAGAGCTAAGTTTGTCTCCGACGTGCTGTAGCATTCTCAGGGTTTAACGTAGTAGCATTTTTTCTCAAAATGGATCAATGGATAGGGCACGTAAATACTGACCATTAGTTAAAGCCCAACGACGGACACCTCAACTGCACCTGTGTGGGCGTGAGCAACCTGACTGTGTCTCAGCCCTAGTGCTTCCTTCGGATTACATGATAGTTGGGCACCGAAGGTTTGTCACAGCCGAATGACTGTCATCACCCATTTAAATAATCAGGTCTTGCACGCCTGGCTGAAAAAGACAGATGGCGGGCAATATGTTCGCTCATTACTTTTCATACATGAACTAGGTCGCATAATTAGAATTTCATTTAATGTTTTCATTATGGCTCCAAATGAAGTGATCAACATGAACAAATGGTGAAAATAACGTTTTTGTTACCAAGCCTTTGACTAGGATGACCCTGGGGTTCCTGCTGTCATATCCGATTAATTCTCTCCTGCTAACTTTTCGAAATTGCCAATTTTTAGTAAAGGAATTAATGAAAACCTGTAGAAATTGGCCTTTGGAACTAGTAGCAAGCTTTAACCCACGAAATTGAGATCGATTACAGTATAATATTTTCAGATTGGGTGCATTCGGACCGATCTTCAAACATTTCCTAAATTTGGCAGCAGTCACATCTACTCCCCAGGAGCCAAGCCCATGTGAATACAGTGAAGTTTGGATTGCTCTTTATTGGGCTTTATTTTACTTGTTGTCATGTCCTGTTTGGAGTGTTATATGATTGACACAATCAGCAAGACCAAAAGTAGCTTGATGCATTCACACTTCTTCAAGTAGTGAATGTTCAGATGCGGACAAACTGAGGTTATTTGGTATGTACCTCAGAGAATCCAAAGGGATACAACTGTGAGACACACCTCGGCAAGTCAAATAACAGTGAAGCACCATCCGACAGTCGAGACTACTGGAATAAGCATACGGTGCCCCTATTTTTGCTTGACCCCTGTGCCGCAATTAGTGAGATTAAGACTTCTGCACAGGCATAGAAATTGAAACGCAGAGACAGTGTACGCCTAGTGTTCCATTATGTGCACTTCGCTTGGCTACTTTCCGGCCTGTAGGTAATTCTTGGTACTTTGATCAAATAAGTAACTCTGTCCAATGATCCATTTGGAGAAATCAAGCTGAATACCAACCAGAGGATGAAGTTTCACGCTTGCGAAAGAAATAACCTATTCAAGTAGCTACCATTTGTAGGCAAACATCAGCTAGATTAAATTAAACAGATGAAAACCGGCTACATTATGAAAGATTGTTCAGGTAACGCTAATAATCCTCCAGAAGCCCCATTGAGGTTAAGTCGATTCTCAGTTTCTCAGTGAAACAAATGGAGTGCGCTAGTTTTCAGATACACTCAATAATGCACTTCATCAGAATGCAAGAACCATGAGGTCAGGTTTGCATGGAATTAATGAGCACGGAGAACAAATGATTAACGATGTTTTTGTGATATGCTTTAGACGAATAGGCTATTAGAAGAGGCATTTCATCCCCAAATACTTCTGACCATGGATCAAAATTCCTGCCACAAATGGTGCGACAATCGGGCATTGCAGCACTTTAAACACTCACCAATTTCGGATGACAGCAAAAAAAACTATCTCAATAGCATAACGTTTTTTTAAACAAACCTATCATTCACACTCAGAATAAAAAAGGCTCGAGCGTTAAGTAGTTGAGAGGACGTAAAAGTCGGAAATACATGTGAGAAACGTTTGCCGTCAAATCGAGGTGCGAAACCGGTTACCCATCATCCAGTACACCAAAACCTGCGTAATTAAAGTGTGAGAATCCGTTTCGCATGTTCTTCTCAGGTGCTGTCCCATCACTTTATCGTGGAACATCATGTGTGCTTGTTACCTACCTACCGAAATATGTCATTTCGCAGGTCGCGTGCTCAGGTGTTTCTTCATGACAAGGAAGCATTCCTAAATATGTAGTCGGAATTCATTCATAATAGTTATTAAATTTCCTGAGGTTTTTTCGGGCACTCTTAAGGGACATACTACTATTATCAATGTAATCCTCTGAGGACTTTTCTGCTTGGACCGGCATGAAAATAAGGTTTATTTTTCATTAATTCGTACGCGATGAACTAGAATTTCGCAACGTTGCACCTTTAGTTCAGTGCAACGTGAGAAATCAGTTCGGAAGTTTTTAAGTGTTTATAACTCTACGATGGCAAGAATACCTGAAAGGAAACTCATAAGGTCTTCACAGCTAGATCATTCATTGGACAGCTCTTTCAGAAAACGGACGAATTTTCCGACATTCCTCCAAGCATAAAAAAATTTGGACGATTTCACGTGCCCTGATTTTCAATTCTCGGGTGCAACCCTTGTCATACAATTTATTCCTGTCCACAGAGAGGCGACCATTAAAAGCACAATGGTGTCGAGGTAAATAGTAAACTTCCCGGGATGACACCACACTGAATTCTTGTCCTTTGTTTATTTGTGTGCATCCGCCTCATCACTACTGCAGACCAGACCTGTGCAAAAAGACCTTTGCGAGAAAAAAAGATTATTGATCTCGAGAAACACTTGCCAGGGTTCACCTCATTCAGAGAAAACAAACTTGCAGTGAACAACTTAAATCATTCAAAGAACCCCTGACAGTAGTTCCATTATGCAGCTCTTCCATTAATACGACACACCCAAGGAGCACAATATAAATTCAAAGACTTAACACATTCGTTATTTGAACCAAATATTTGTTAAATGTCTTGAAATTAAAGTAACCAGGATTCAGGATCGGAAATTCTACAACGTTTGAAGCAATAAGACCGTATAACAATTTTCCAAAAACTAAATTCCCCAAGACTCGCACCATCAAAACCTGAAAATTCTAATGTTATCCCATGGATTTACATCAATTTCAATTTATCTCACAGCAAATAAAATATTACGAGCATGAAGTACACACGTAACTTGAACGTCTTTCCCAAGCATGTCCACAAAGAACAGAAAGCAACTACGGCTATTTAAAACCCGTATTTTCCTGCTGCTATGAGGATTTGTGTTTAGAACCAACCACAACCACAACAACAACCAGGACAACAACCAATACAACAACTACTACTACGACAAACACAACACCAAAACCAACAACTACAACACCAGCAACAACCACAACAATACCAACCACAACACCAACACCGGAAATGACAACCAAACCGACAACCACAGTAGCAGCAACAGCACACACAACTGCAAGTACAAGAGTAACAATAGAAGATATAACATTGCATAGTACACAAGAGATGATATACACCGCAACTGAAACACCAGACCATGGTTGGAGAACGACCATTAGTAATACAGAGAGCTCAATTAAACAAACCGAAAACCCGCCAGCAGATGAGAGCATGGAGGCCTCCACCGGAAACGAGTCAGAACAGACAACACAACAGAACACACAAATAGCATGAGCGGAGCAACCGATAAAATACAAACAACCACCACCGTAACTACAGGAACAGAACACACAACACAAGAACCAACCGAGGCAACTACACAGAAGACCATCGAGATTAATGTCACAAGACCAGGCACAAGTTTGCAAACATCAACCAGCATGGAAGTCTATTCAAACAGCCCAATCCATTCAACGTACTCAGCCGAGTCTGAGGAAAACTCAAAGTGGTCGACACTAGAGAAATCACAATTCGTGAGTTCAGCAGACATGCAATACGAAATTCCAACAGTGCCCAGTACACAAAGTGCAAGCTTTACTCGAAATAGAACAAAAGACCGTAATATAGAAACATCCCCCAACATAGAACTATATTCAACAAACCCAAATGATATCACTAGGGAAGGTGAAGCGGTGGAAAATTCATTGGGGACAACACCACAGAATTCACATTCTCCGAGTTTCTCAGATATACAGAATAAAACTTACACGGTGCCTTATAAAGAAAACATGACTTTCGCTCAAACAACAACATCGATGATTATTTCGCAAACGCTACCTAACATGGAAGGCAAGACGGTCACAACGCACAAGTTTGCAAACATCAACCATCATGGACGTCTATTCAAACATCCCAATCCGTACTACGTACACGCATGAATCTGAGGAAAGTTCAAAGTGGTCGACACTAGGGAAATCACAAATCTCGAGTTATTCAGACATGCAATATATAGCTTCAACAATGCCAGGTAGCGAATACTCCACTTCCGCTCTTATAGCAAAACCGGAGCCTAGTTCGCAAACTTCACCCAGCTCTCCAGCCCAAGCTAGGAACGCAACCAAGCACACTGAAGCGCATGAAACTGTGGATAATTTATCGATGGGAACAAGAAAGGAATCACAACCCCCGATTCCCACAGACATTGCAAAAGGAAGTTCAGCGCTGCATAGTACAGAAAAGCCGGCCCCCACTCTAACCGCAAAACCGGAGTCCAGTTTGCAAACACTACCCAGCTTTCAATCCCATGCTAGCACCGCAACGAAGAACAATAAAACACATGAAACTGTGAATATTTCAACAGTGACAACATTACAGGAGTCACTACCCCCGACAGACATACCGCATGAAAGTTCAGCACTGCCTAGTACAGAAAATGCGACTTCCACTTTAACCGTGACACCAATGTCTAGTTCGAAAACATCGGCCGACTTGGAAGTTTATTCAACCAGCCAAACCAATTCCACTTACACAGATGAATCTGAGAAAAACTCAACGTGGTCAACACCAGAGGAACAACAATCCTCGAGTTCCATAGACATGCAAATTGAAATTTTAACGATGTCTTGTACAAAAATCTCGACATCGGCCCCAACAGCAAAACCAAGCACCAGTTTGGAAACTACACCCAGCTCTCAACCCCATGCTAGCATAGCAACCAAGAACACTGAAACAGATGAAACTGTGGATAATTTAACGGAGACAACAATACAGGAAACACAATCCCCGATCTCCACAGACATTCCAAATGGAAGTTCATCTTTACATAGTACAGAAACTGCGGCCTCCGCTCTAACTGTGACACCGATCTCTAGTTCGCAAACATCAACTAGCATTGAAGTCTATTCAACCAGCGCATCCTATACCACGAATACAGATGAATCTGAGAATCATTCAACGTGATCAACATCAGAGAAATCACAATCCGCGAGTTCCACAGACACGCAATACAGAATTACCACAGTGCCCAGTACACAAAATGCAAGCTCCGCTCGAGATAGAACAGAAGACCGTAGTATGGAAACAGCCCACAGCATAGAAATCCATTCAAGCAACCCAACCCATATCATTAGGAAATATGAAGTTGTGGGAAATTCAATGGGGACAACACCAGTGAATTCAAATTCTCCGAGTTTCTCAGACATTCAAAATAAAAGTTCCACGGTTCCCTATCAAGAAAACGCGACATTCGCTCAAACAACAACATCGATGATTAGTTCGCAAACGCTACCTAACATGGAGGACGATACGCTTACAACAACTGACAAAAACAAAACTCAGGAAACTTCAGAAAATGCAATTGATTCAACACTACAGGAATCACAACACCCGACTTCCACAGACATGCCAAAGAATAGTTCAGCACTGCCTAGTACAGAAAAGGCGACGCCCACGCTAACAGCAACATCGATGTCCAGTTCGCAACAATCGGCCAGCATTGAAGTCAGTTCACCCAGGCCAACCCATACCACGAACTGATCTGATCTGAGAAGCATTCACCGTGGTCAATACTAGAGAAATCACAACCCTTGAGCTATTCGGACATGCAATATGTAGCTTCATTAATGCCAAGTACAGAATATTCCACCTCCGCTTTTATAGCAACACCGGAGTTTAGTTGGCAAACTTCACCCAGCTTCCAAACCCAAGCTACCATCGCATCCATGCACAGTGAAGTGCACGAAACTGCGGATAATTTAGCGGTGAAAACAGTGAATCAATTACAACCCTTGATTCCCACATACATGCCAAATGAAAGTTCAGCACTGCCTAGTACAGAAAAGGCGACCTCCACCCTAACAGGGTCACGGATGTCTAGTTCGAAAACATCAACCAGCATTGATGTTCATTCAACCAGCCCAAGCCATACCACGTACACAGATGAATCTGGGGGAAACTCAACGTGAACAGAACTAGAGAAATCACAATACGCGAGTTCCGGTGACATGCAATCTTTAGCTTCAACAATGCCAAGTAGCAGATACTCCACCTCCAATCTCATAGTAACCTCGGAGTCTAGTTAGCACTGCCTCAGAAAAGGCGACCTCCACCCTAACAGGGTCACGGATGTCTAGTTCGAAAACATCAACCAGCATTGATGTTCATTCAACCAGCCCAAGCCATACCACGTACACAGATGAATCTGGGGGAAACTCAACGTGAACAGAACTAGAGAAATCACAATACGCGAGTTCCGGTGACATGCAATCTTTAGCTTCAACAATGCCAAGTAGCAGATACTCCACCTCCAATCTCATAGTAACCTCGGAGTCTAGTTCGGAAACTTCACGCAGCTCTCAAACCCATGCTAGCACAGCAAACATGAACAACGAACCACATGAAATTGTGGACTAGTTGACGGTAAGAACACTACAGGAATCACAGGATTCCCACAGAAATGACAAATGAAATTTCAGCGCTGCCTAGTCCAGAAAAGGTGACCTCTACTCTAACCGCGATACCGATGCCCAGTTCACAAACAACAATGCTAAGTACAGAATACTCCACCCCCGCTCTAACAACAACACAAATGTCCAGTTCGCAAACATCAACCAGCATTGAAGTCTACTCAGCGAGCCCAACCTATGCCACAACACATGAATCTGGGAAGAATTCAACGTGGTCAACATTAGGGAAATCACAATCCCGAGTTGTCCGGATATACAATATGTAGCGTCAACAATGCCGAGTACAGAATACACCGCTCCTCCGCTCTAACAGAAACACCGAAGTCCAGTTTACCGACATCACCCCGCCTTTATGCTGAAACTGATGAACGTGTGATATCTTCAATGTTGTCTTCACCACAAAACTCACAATCTCCGAGTTTCGCGAACATCCATACTGATATTTCCATGCTGCCTACTTCGGAACACGGTAACTGACAAAATTAAAACTGGTGAACTGTTAGAAACACTACAAGAATCAAAATCTCCGGGTCCTACAAAAACAAAAACCGAAGTTTCAATGGTGTTGAGTACGAAACACTCACTTCCCATTCAAACCACAAAAGGGAACGGTGGTTCGCAAACACCATTCAGCATGGAAATCCATGCAACCAGCCCAACCTCAATGGAGACAACACCAGAGAAGTCACAATCCACGAGTTTCACAGACACACAAAATGAAAGTTCAACGGTGCGCAGTACACAAGACACAAGCTCCTCTCGAACTATACCAATGGACACTGGTCCGCAAACATCACTCAACATGGAAACCAATGCAACCAGACCAGCCCATACCACCCGAATAGATGAACCAATGCATATTACAATGGAGACAAACCTGCAGAAATCGAGTTCCACAGAAAGCCATACTGATATTTCAAAGGTGTCTGGGGCACAAGAGTCCTTCTCCACGCAAAATGCAACACCATACATTCGTTCGCAAGACCCACACAGCAAGAGATTCAGTGCAGCTAGTGCAAACAAGAACATTTTAATTTTGAAAACTTAGGTACCTCTTCGTTGTTGGAGAGCCGGGGTATTCATCCATGCTCCCATCGTGGAAATATATTCTGCCTGCTCGTTGATTGTTTTGCTTAATTTGTTGACAAGTTTTCCGTAAACATCGGGCGACTCTTCATGTTCTGCTTCTTCTTTTACGTTGTTCATTTGTTTCCCAAATTGTAAAAGTTGCAGTAATTATATCATCCAACTCAACGATTTTTTCAATTTTCCCCGTATAAATTGGAATATATTGGTAGAGCTTGATTTTGAACACATCAATACATCCATGAAGCACATCAGGCATGTAAAATTGATTGACATTCTGGGTCTTTATATGCAATGGTTTCATGGATCGATTTCAAGAAATAGAATGACCAAAACGTCAACGACTAAAATTGATGAGCTCACCGTCCCGGAAGTAAGTCAATAGGAACTGCAAAGAAAGTAGGAATCCCAAAATCCAGCTATATCCTCTGTAAAAACGACCATATCACCCGTGTGCGACTTTCGGTGAAAATAATGGATTCAAGGTGAACAAATGGGTGCGTACGCAACAATAGTCAAAACTTTTGGCCGGATCACGGAAACTATCTTACTTAAGAATCCGATTGGGTGGCCACTCGGACAGGTGGGTTTTTAGGTAGATCCATTGTTTGAAAGTCAGCGTGGCATCCACAAAATGCATACATCTGTTTACCAATAGCTAACTTTGAGGTATCCTCAGGAGGCAAGCAAATTAATAAAAACCAGAAAGCAGTCAAGGCCAACTCCATGTGAGCACCCAGTGTTTTGACAATCCATCGACCGCTCGTCCATCGAAGTCGCGATTATTTGTCCAGCGAAACATTGAAGTTCTTTCGAAATCTAAACACGTGTTATCTGAGGCCATACGACGCTGTACCTATCTATATGTTATCTTATCGAATTCTCACCTCCCAGCTTTCCTGAAAAAACTAAGCCTTGATCGGAACATGTTTGAAGATGCCACAAAACACCACAACAGTTGACTGATATTTGGTTCCGTCAAATATTACCTACGCAAGACTACATCGACCCGGTAGAAAGGCGGAAAATAATGTTAGATGGAATTAAGTAAATAAGCCATAGATAATGACCAAGTGAAATCTAACAACTATAAAAGCTCACCACCGTAATTCCGTTGCTTCCAAAGAATGAGGCTCATTTGAGTGAAAACGGAAACCCCATTAGGTCTGGTGAGTAAAACTCAACACGATCACGTTTGGCTCTCGGTAATTTGACCACATCAGGGCAGACGTGCCGAGAATTGTCCCCAATCTAATAGTCATAAACATATTCCATTACTACAACAAGGCGACTGGAGTGAGTAAAACTTCTCCTTTGCGCTCTGTAAGCCTGCTATTAAATGACTTTCCAAAGGACCTGAAAAATTTCTCCGTGGGACGATTGCATCTGATTGTCAGCATCCACTGTTCAGATGGTGTTTTGTGAGTTTTGATTTTGCTCAATGTGGGTTATATCGTCGAATCCATCAAAATGTGTAATTTTGGAACAGTGCAGTCATAAATGTGAGAAACTGTCTGCCGTAAAACTTGGGTGACTAATCCTTCGCCACTAAAAGATTCTAGCGGAAGCGTGACGTTTCACGTTCCAATAACAAAAACGATAGCTCTTCACTGAACTATCCCGTTGTGCTAGTTATATAAATGTCCAGACAAGCTCTCATTAGGCTGCATAAATAGTGCGTTTCTCGTAACAGGAAGCCATTGTTGATTTTTTATCACAAAACATGTGTAGTGGGGTGGCTGGTGCCAACTGTTGAAGAAATATCTGTCACACATTACATAAGCCTAGTAAATTAGTGCAGGATAATACTTGCAAGATAAATCGGTGCCAAAGTATGACACAGTCTCGGCCGAAACTTCTGAATCGCTCCAAAATTACGTGGCTCATGAAGGATGGAGGTGGTTGCCCATTGAAAAGGTTCAGCAAGAATGTAAGTGGTGCAGCGTCTTGGATATGCATCTCTGCGCTTGAAAAAAGCAATATATGTCTGCCTCTTGTTCTTTGGGGATAGCCAGCAGCTCAGATTCCATGAAGCTCCATAAAGATTCGAAGTCACGATGTCCGGGAGGTTAGTTGAAGAATAAACCGTTCAGTCACGATCAAATTATCGGCAATGTGAATAATTTGCATTTAGACACGACAGAGAGCCTTTCATTGTCCATCCATTGCATTTACCTTATCTGGCTGCGTGATCAGATGTTGACTAGCTATTCCAGGTAACAGGGTCCCGACCAGAGGGCTCCCGTAATGTGTGAACTTTTCTTCTTTTTTAGCCACCAGAAGTATTTCATAAGCTGAGGACAATTTCAAAAAGTTGTGGGAATTGGTACAATAAGTAAAGTCAATCTGTGCCAGTAAGCCAAAAGGGCCAAAATTTTGCTGCTTCGCAAGGAGTAGGAACTTTTTGACGACGGGCACGTGCTGACAGACATAAGTGACGAAACGTTTCCGAACTCACCAGCCGAAGGTCTGATAGCCATCTGTGGCTTCCGAAAGCCTGAACGGTGAAGCTCCAGCCTCCCTTATGGTTCCTCCGGAAAGAAAATTTACCCTGGCAACTGCAGCAGACTTGTAAGCAGCCCGAGTCAAATAACCGCGTCTTTTACAATTAAGTGGATATTCGGCGGAAATGCCATTCATAGGTGAATCAGCTGTTTACACATGGATCGCTTGCGGGTAAGCGCCTCACGGCAGTACGGTAGTGAAGACCTTACTGTCAGGCTTCTTTGTTTGCAAGAAGAGTGCGCATAAAAAGCAGAAAGTGGCCTCGAACACTTCAGTGGATACTGTCATGCTTTAAAGTCAACCGATAAGTGAAAGTAAGCGGACCATCTGTCAAGTTAAAGCAAGCCGGGAGCGTGTGTCGCAAGGCTTTCCGGATTCACAGCATCGCTGAATTTCGCGCTGGATTGATGGTAGGATTTGTGCCCAACCAATTTCCCTATAGTTGACTTACATCAACACAGCTTATTGATTACTTTTTCCAGACGAACCAAGCCACTAGACTGGTTGCCGAAATAGCCTCGGACGGCACAAATGTCGGCTCGATTCAGTATTGTTATCTGAAACAAGAAGTGGACAACGAAATTTTTCGCCTGTAACGTATAAAGCATCGTCGCGTTGTTCGGCTCTGGAAGATGCAGAAACTATATTGTGGTTTGGGAGCAAAAGTGTGCTGGCAATAAATCCAACGTGAATGAGGCTCGAGATGAAGGATAGTAAATTTAGCAGTGATATCTTGATTGCTTTCATGCCGATATCCAATTTCGCATTAAATATCTGGGTTTAAAGCATAGCTCTTCAAAGCAAATACGACCCAAGTTCCCAAGTGATTAAATCATACACCAGCGCTTCATGCTTCTTGATGGGGGATCAAAATAATTCATTTGTTTCTACCTAAACGAATGTTTTTGATACCGTGGCGAAGGGCTTTATCAAACTCTACACGCATGTCTTTCTCATGTGTGTGAGGCGACTGCTGCCCATTAGGGGTTTGCAAATTTTTACGCATGCTCCCACATACATACGCGTATGTGTAGACTGTTCTGTGACTCTGATTACTGATTATGTTTGTTAGGTCCCAAAACCCATGTGCACCACTTGTTTGCCTTGTAAATGGGTCAAGTATGTCGGCCGAACAGACACAAGAATACTGTGTGGGGTTAATCGGTGGAAAACACGCTACCGAGAAATGTTTGATAAGCGCATTGTTAAGCTCGGCGAACAGATCAACAGCTAGCTAAACCACAACCCACCTTCGGCAACTTCACCAAGGTCAGGCGACATTCAGCTGCGGGGTTTGCGATACGGACATTGTACCGTTTTTGATCTCATCCTTTTGGGCTAATAATTTAATCTTGAAAAGTGTGCACGATCAAGTGGCACGGAGTTCATGCTGGGTGACAGGCTGGTAATACACTCTCACCCACGGCACAACTCTTGGGACGGGATACATTATTAGTGGGCTATAAAAAAAATTTGCCTATAAATTTCATTCAGTTGCACATTAAGTTGTTCCTAACGTGATCGTCGACTGAATTGCAGAGGAATCTGTCGGTCATCTTATTATTCAATTAAATGTGCTCCGCAAAGGTCGTCTCCCGTTACGATCAACACGATATTCATTACAAAGCATTATAATTCCTCAAGGCAGCACTACACATTTGGTAGCTGCAAACACCCCAAAAGCACGCTACTGGTTTCGCTCTTCATGGGCGTATCAAGTATCTGCGGTCCTCACGTTTCCTTCTACCCTACGTCAAAATTAAACGTATTTTGCCAGAGGAAGTATGCAATATACGGATGAACGTTTTTGAAACCGTTACCATGCAGCCTGTCGAAAATTCTCGAGTCAACAAATAAGGGTACGCAACTGATAATACTGTATACGATAACGAAACCCCAGTTTCCAGAAAAATGCCCTACAGAACCTTCCAACACCTATTCAACCTATGCACCAATGAGCCACTGTGTAACTATGAACGTCTGTTGGAGGGCTGGAGTGAATTAGGAAAGCACTTAACTATTGGATGTAATCATTGAATGTCTGCAGAAGACGCTTTACTGGCTTGGAGTCTAAAAACATTCACGAGAACCATAAGTCATCTGCTTGGAATGCCACCATACTAGTTACTAATTAATTTCGAGTCGCAAAGCCGATCGTTACATGGCTTCAATTCAACACAAATTTGTCTGTGCTATGTTGTGAGAAATCAGGAAGTTCCATCCACGCTTGTTGTGTCAAACCAGTGATATCTTGAGAGGACTAAGCTTTTAGTTAATACATTGAGCTTTCCAAAACTCGCAGCCAAAACTCAAACGTTCGTTCACACTGAATGATGCGAAATTATCCTTCCACATAAAGGTACAGTGTAAAATGGCAGCTCGACGAGATTTAAATCGGACGGTATGGACTACCTAACGGCAAAACCTTCAATTAAATAAACGGGTCATTTTGGATTTTGACGCTGTTGTAAATCAACTATGGTTTAGCTGTCAACAATGCTCTGATTATTGTGAATGGTCCAATTATTGTATCCTAACTTCGTTAGGGTGCTTTGAAGGATGTAGACTGTCGCCGATCCTCAGAAAGTAACCCACAATGCGACTTTGCCTTCCAAAAAGAAATTTACCATTGTGATGTGGAATGATTGATTGAAAGTCCGCAGTCCTAAAATTAAATTAGGCTTTACATTCAGATCAACATTGAACTCGAACACCAGACTATCGATCATACATTATCCGGTTCATGAGCATCATGGCTGCCGGATTGCTTTACTTTGAGAAATATGGTTTTCCTTAGGAAATTAATCAACAACTTTCAATGAATACAGTGAATTTTCTCCACTAGGAATAATTGGTGTGAAATTTACT